AAAGCTCTCTTGTGGGCTGGTAATTTAGTGCAAGCGATAGAGAACAACCCAAATTAAGTTCAATCAGATGTAATTCCCTGCTCAAATTTGGAAGTTAAAGAGAGGGGCTGAAATGGACCAATAAATCCTTTAAATATGAGGTGCTCCAAAAATAGTCCAGACACCCATTATCTATTTAACAGCCCTCGTCCCCATTGGGCAGGAGTAAGGAAGTAACTTCAAAAGGCTGACCCCCCTCATTCCTGTTAATGACCCCAGATGTGTCGTCCTGAACAGGGGCCTGATTCATCCGGCTAATCCTGCAGCCGCCAAAAGCATGCAGGGGGGCCATTTCAAATGCGCCAAATTAAAACACTTGGCCCGGGCGTGGCTGGATGTTGAGATGATTAGAAGAGAAGGCATTGATCTGCAAACGGAGTGCAATCACTCAGCACTCTCTCTGAGCATATTTGCCGGTCCAGCTGTGCAGTCCAGAGTAGTGCAGTGGTAATGAGAGTAGCACATGAATGCATACAGCAAGCGCACACACACACACACACACACACACACACACACACACACACGAAACATTACTCTGCAGACCGTGGAGGGATCTCAACCTGAGCGTGACTGCCCAAACAACACGTACAGACTTTGAAAAGCGCTGCAATTCTTGCCCGTTTACATCATCGGCCTCCGACATACACACACACTGCATCCACACATGTTCTCACACACCGAGTAATGTGCAGAAAGAATACGCTGCTGAGCCATAAATCTGCAAGCACCAGTCATAGTCTGCTGTTGTTGTTAGTCTAGCCGTAAGTCTCCCATATCCTGCCACGAAGAGGGCCCTTCAAGACGGCAATGATTCAGAGTCAAGTGGACCGGGTCGGCTGTAAACGCCTTGGTTTTGCTGATGAGCTCACATGTGTTCTGGGTGACAATGACTGTGATCCGACCGCCGAGCACAATGAAGTCAAGAGGAATTTATTTCTAAACTATCTTAAGCAAACTGGTTTACCTCGCAAGCCTTACAGAGAACACAAAAACCCAGATAAATCCGAGAACAAGCAGGCAGCACAGACGTCAAGATATCGAACCCGAGCTTCTGTGTTTGGTGTGTGAGCAGACTTGTGAGCAGCAGCCAACAAAAGACCTCTGCTTTTCCCTTTCTAGAAGTGTCTAATCTCCACAGCAGCCAGAGGACTGACTACAATAAAGTCTTTAAGAGGATAAGTATGGTAAGCAAAACAAAACGCAGGGTGAAACCAAACAGCTTGCCTCAAAAAGTTGTCCCGAGTTCTGTTAACAGACAAAATGAAATCGCTGTTCTGCTCATTACCTGAAAACTGCCTCCCTCATCTTCAGGCCACGCAGGGCCCCCAGTGGCCCCCATGTTCCTGTCTGCTCACCGGTCATCCTGTCTGAGAGTAGTCTCACAGGAAGGGCAGGGGATGTGGACGCCAGAGCGTCCTTGCTGGATAGACGTCCAAATGCCCTCGATGGATTATATTTCTACATGCATTTCATTTTCTGTTCTCGTTTGTTAAACGACAAGACAACAGAATTTTAAGAGCTGCTCTCGGTCGCGCCCCCATATTTTCTCACCTCTGTTCCTCTCTGTCCTGCCCTGGCTGCTAAATGTCTTTCCCATATGGAGTAGTGGGACGTCCAGGGTGGGCTGAGGAGGCTGCTGGGTTGTGGGCTGGAGTCTCCCACTAATCCATTGGGAGTTTAATGACGGCAGACCATGCTAGTGGTGGTGAAGCCCTGGGGGGGGGGGGGGGGGTTGACCCAAGTCAGGAGGGGCTGGGCATGTGACCCACACCAGGCTAAAAGCCCAAATGGTTGGGGGAGGGCGTGTGGACATAAGCATGTGTGTGTACACCTATGTCTGGAGCTAAATGGCCAGTCACTTGAGGAATGCAGCCTTTCTGATCTCAGCCGTGAAAACACAAGCAAATTGAGCTCTTAAGCGGATGAAGTAGAAAAAGAAAAGCCAGTTGTTCCCGTTTTGGCGATCCCTGCCTTACATTCACCCCCTGCCCAAAAAAAAAAAAGAGTGTAAGTGTTACAGGGACGTACTGAAACACACACGAACAAAGGCTGTAAGAAGCTGAGATTCCCCGGAGGCCGTCTGGCTTCAAGAGTGACTGTCTGATCTTTTCCTTTTTGTTGTGGATATACCCGTTTGTTCGTGTGTGTGATGCCAAGTGCAACTCCAAGCAGCCCATTACCTTTTGTCTCATATCATCACAGAACACCTCTGTCTCCCGAAGCAAGATGAAAAAAATGCGTTTAGTTGAATCTGACTGGACCCAATTTTTGGCAATGTTTGAGAAATCCATTTAACGCACTCATCTGCATAATGTTTGATAGCTTTGCTCTAACACTTGGCTTGCTTTCATCATTCAAATTGGTACGCCTGTAACTAGCCTGATTTCATTTCCATCCTCATGATTCAAAGCACAAGCTCAATTAATTAGCAATACGCAAATCAGTTGTTGCCTGAGGTCAAACAGATTCCAGTCTATTTCAAAGATTGGATGTCCACTTAACATCATTTGCGGGCGTTATCTCAAAAGACACTTTGATTAAGTGAGGTTTCTATTCCCCTAATGTGCAACAAATGCAGGCCTAAATCAATCAGGAGATATGGATGAAGGCCTCTCTGAGCACGAGCAGTAGAGACACGGATGCTGTCACATGGTTGACAGCGAGTGTGCTCGCATATGAAGCAGTTCGTGTGTGGGATGTATATCCATAAGCCAATAACTGGAAACAGCAGACGCAAGTGGGGTAAAGGTTCATGGGAAGACTGAGTTATCTTTTTGTTTTCTGGCTTGTAAGTCTCTAATTAAAGTGACCTCACTGATGTCCCATCTGCCACCACGGCAAAGAGTCACCGATTTTTGGCTGCCATGTAAGCGTGTTAATCCACTGCAGGGCCAGGTACGCGTAAACACACTCCACACACATGTCGGCGGCATGCGCAGACGCTTGCTTGGTACACTCAGCGACGCTTAAACAAAAGATTAAGACTTCGACAGTGAGACTGAAATCCTGTTAGTGCGTTTGTGCGGAGCTGGACGGAGATATCTTTGTAACTTGTGGAAGGGAAGCAGCTGAACTTTGCGTTCCCCCAGGAGCCACAAAAACACTGACGACGCGGCGCGCGGAAATTACAGCAATTCAGCACGATGACAATGAGCAACGCAACTGGAATGACAACGGCTGAGCGAGGTGGCAAGGTCGGATGAACGTCCCCTCTTCGATAATCGCTTTTTGAGGACATAATGGAATCTTTGTCTGTAATGCAGAGCCACAGTCTCGCCAGCAGCCGCCCGGCATCCAATGAGAACAATCCATCTGGGCGACCCTTGCCATGGCAACAAATTCATCCATGGGGACCTGTGCAGGACCCAATCAGGGATAAGCTTTTATATTTTATACATTTCCCACCTAATAGAACTGCAGTGCATTCTCTTGCTGCAAGACATGGACTCTCATATTGCTGCTCTCCTATCTACTACTTTACCACTACAGTACATCCGCCCCCTTTTAAGAGTCTTACCAGAGGAGCGAATGTACTCTACAAATATTTTTCCTGGCGAGGTGTGCGGGGAACACAATGAGTCTGCACACAGATCAGACAGCGAGATACTACAATCCTGCACAGTAAAGAAACTTGAAGACGTGGACAGGTGCTCTGTTGAAAACACAAAATTGGTTCACACAAGTTTACACCGGCTATTTACCTCCGACTGAACAGGAAGTCATGATATACCAACTGGAAATTGTAACCTGTAAACTATCATTTCAAAGGTCACATCCTGAATGGACCTCTACTGACATACCAAACAAAGAGAAGTTGGGAGAAATACCCTAAAAAACTGCAGCTAAAGCCATGTGATAAGAGCTGTAAACTGTAAAAGGATGTTAGGACATAAGTGAGAAACACCACCGAGTTCAATTCAGAGGCTTCAAAGGAATATTTGAAATGTGCGATACATCTTTGGAATGGCTCTTAAGTATTTGATTCTTCCCCTGGCGGTGACTCTGCTCTCATCTGCACTACGGCACTGGGACCATTAAAATAACCAGGATGTTCTCCACCAACTTAATGAGAAGATAAGCAGTTAATGTGAAATCCTCTGGACTCTTTTTTTTTTTTTTAAAGCACTGAATGCCTATCGCCTAATTAAGGCATCAACGCGGCTCCAACTCTTGATTCGCCGGCCCTCTCTGTCACACATCAGCAGCTGCGAGATGGAGGAGCAGCTCATGCATTAGAGGTTACTGAAGTTATGACAGGAGCATTGTTTGAGCACTTCACGCTTTAGGAGTTCTCCCTTTTTGAAGAGAACGCAATGCATCAACCCATCGTTTGCTGACGACAAGGGGAAGTGACTTGGAGAAATATCACTGACGTACTCAGACGAAATGGCAAGAACAAAGAAATGAGGAAATGGCAAGGGCAAGAACGCCATATTGATTCTTAGGTTATTAAGACAAAGCGGTGAATCCAGGAAACTGCTGCCAAAAGTCAATGACTTTTATTGAAAAGAGATGGAAAGTTTTTGCGTGGTCCAAATGTTTATTAGATCCATATTTTTGGTGCATTTGGACTTTATTTACTAGCTGAAGGTAGAGAGATGACAGGACATGTGAGGAGAGAGAGAGATGGGGAGAGCTGTGATGTAGCTTTTATCTCGCTTCTAGCTAGTGATATTCATTATCATGACTCATTCCATGGCCTGAAAGCAATGTTTCATTCTAATTGTCTGGAACGGTGTTTTAAAATGCTTGTACATGTATAGTACTTGAGTAGATCAACCTACACAGGGTCACAGAGGGCTGGATCCTATCCCAGCATATAATGGATGACATGATCAAGTCTGCTACGTCCACTGATTTTGATTAATAGTTATCCATGTACGAGTAGGAAAACAGGATTTAATGCTCACTGCAGTTCTTCAATAACGTCAAATGCGCTCTCTGCTTTCAGGCTCTTTTACCTGGAGAATTGCTGCTGCAGTGAAACCATCTGCGCCTGTCCCAGCTCTGACTCCTCCGTCACTTCCCGGAGACGTTTCTCGCTCTCCAGTCGCAGGCGTCGCTCTTCCTCTAGCTCGTGGATCAGCTTTTCTCGCTGTGGACACACAAAAAAAGAAAAAAAAGATCTGTCAGTGGTGTGTGGCCTAAAGGCTCAAAAGAACATCCCGAAGTCATATGTTTATGGTGCTGGAGCGAAAGCCCCTGAATCCCTACAAGCTCCAGGGATGTCATTGTTGCTGCTGACCCTCCTTGGAGAAGGGAAGTGAAAACAGAATATTTCAACTTCATGATCATCAAAAAAACAATCGCTGATGAAAAAAAGTACCCAAACATCTTTCTTCTGTCGGACATCCAACACAGGTCATCCGGTTCTTCCTCGTGCTTCAGGCGTGAGAGAAAATAAAAGAATAAGGGCATGATGACATTTAAGCAGCCAGACCGGCATTACTTCCACAGTTTGTTGTTACTTTGAAATGTTCTTAACGAACCTTCCCTTTCCTCTGTTGCTACGACAGAAAGTTCACACTAAATGTCAAACAACATCAGCTTGGTGTTGCACACTTCAATCTTTCTCTGCGCTCTCACTTCTCATTTCATTTCATTGCTGTGCTTCCACCTTAACTATTACCATAACTATTGATAACTATAACTACGGATTGAATTCTGAATCTAGAGCTCGTTAGTGAGAGGCAGCTCATAGAACTGAAGATTTAATGATTTCATTCCTTTCTACATACTTCTTCAGCTCATTTAAGTGCTCTTAAGTGTTATGGATGTTTTCTCTGGAGCCTTGTTTGGTGCGAGTTAACCCCATTATCCTCAGGAGGATCTTCCAACGTCTGTGGTGTGCAAGGTCTCCACAGATCACCATATCGTCTGCCCATTTTCACCAGAGACCATTCCAAAATAGAAGTGCTCTTTTCAGTTTTTAATTGGACGCTTCTCCGTCTGATGGCCTCAGCCACCTGCTACCAAACGAGAGAAACGTCCTCGCCTCAAACCCAACTTCAAAGACAGTGGCTCTGTTGGGGAAGATTTGGCATTGGGAGTTTTTCAGCGACACAATTGCGGAGGAACTTTGAGCGATCGCTAACAGCAAGGCTGAGGATTTTAGCTGACATTCAGTTATTCTCAGAGCCGCTACACAGAGCATCTCCTGCTGCTGAATATTACAACGCAATGGGTTTAAGTGATGAACAATCTGTCACCAGCTTGTCAGGTATATCAGCTGAAAATATAAGATTTAAAATAACTGGAAATTGGTTCTAGGTGTAAGAGAGTAAGGGATTGCTGGGGGAAAAAATTAAAAAGTTGATTATTTTGCAAAATAAGATGCAGTTATTGCTGAATAAGAGATTTGGATTTGAGGTGCACATTCTCCAGCTATACATTTAGGAGCCTGACAGTCGTTGGTAAAAGATAATCATTATCTGACTTGAAAGGTGAAATCAGTAACTGCTCAGAAAGTCTGTCCGGTGTGTAAACAAAGTCTGTGATGACTTTTCAGTCGGTTATACAGAATTTAAATGTTTTTTTCTAGCCTTGGAGCTCATCTTTAGGTCCGTGGTAAGCACCAACAAAGCTGTGTGATTATTCAGTGTACGGCTGCAGATGCTGAAGTGCTTTTTCACACAAAAGCATTATGGGGACATCTAGTGGCGTGAAAGGACGAGGGACACTGATTGGAATATAGACAGAACATCCTCATGATGTTTGTCTTTTTGCTCAGTGGATCATTAAAATGTGCTGCCATGATTTTAAACTACATCATCAAATTAAACTGCAAAGAAAAATACCAAAACAACTGGAAAGCCTTTAAATCACCGAACATTTTAAAACATTTTGACCATACTGCCTGGAATACAACCAATAAACAATCATATTTCATTACAATACATTGCTCCTTGGCAGGAATTCTGTCACAAAAGCAGATTATATTTGGGTGAATCGGTCCAGGAGAGAGAATATTAAACCCAAGTCACCATTAAAACCAGCTCTGGTTCTCACTGGGGCTATAAATCCGTGGCTACTATGTGAAGCGGCTCTTTACACAACAGGGGGGCTCTCCCTGTCAGGAGTAATGGCAGCTGTAAATCCAGACGTACAGAGGCATAAAGTAGTACATCCCCCTACCAAGAGCTGGACCTATATATCTGGACCAAAACCAACCACTTTTTGGCTCTTCTTCACCTTCTCTCTTTATGGAAAAATGGGCCAAGAGATGAAAAAAGGCAGCTCGTAAACGCAGACAGCATTATGTAAGCATATTACTAATATATACTTCCACGCAGAGACTTTTTCCTCAAGCCATAAGGGTGGAAATGTGTTTTTAATGATACAAACAAGCATTAAAAGCTGTTAATTACAAGAGAAACCTCCAGCATCCAGTAGTTTAGCTGGTTCTCCTCTCAATGCAAACAAGCACAAAGAGTTTTTATTTGCGGCATCGCACATATTATTGTGTACAGTATTGTTCAGCGAGTTGGCATAGATTCTCACAAAAGCACGGTAGCTTTAGTCCTGATTCTTAAGCCCACATGAACTAACGCCCCGGCATAAAGCACCGACCACTATGTCGGCTGACAGAGTCTTGCCAACGGCTATAACAAGACAGGATGTAAGGTCTACGTTGGAGTAAAAGCCCTCTATTGCTTTTGTTCAATATATAATATTGGCAATTTAACAAGACCTAAGGCCATTAAATCAAACATTACCATATCTTTATGTGGCCAGAAAACCCTACCAATACATTACAATTCTTCTTGGTTGAAATGTTTATTGTCTACACCAACTTCATGACTTGTTCTTCGTGCGGTAAAGAACATGCTAATTGAAAGCATATTCTTTCATAAGCCTTACAAATACAACACGCCTTTAGCAAGGCCCTGGGAAGATATCTCAAAGTCAACACTGAGATGGGATGTGATGAACACATGCTTTGCAACTTTCTGTGAGAACGTTTACTTTAGTTAAGCCGGAGACTGAGGAGATAATCCTCTCACTTTGCCGTCTGTCCAGGCCTCGGCTGGAGGAGATGCACTGCCCTGTTTCTCCTGTGGAGGGCAACATGTTACTGGAGTAAAACTGGCAGCTGCAGCGCTAACAAAGCAGCTCTAACAAACAATACAATGGTTGGAGAAAAAAAAAAAAAGCAATATCAAATGGAATAGGCTAAGTAATCCATAAAAATGTCCCGGGCAGGGTTTTACACCGCTCTACTGAGCCATATATCTGAAACAAGCCCAGGTTGGGCGTTTCAGGATTATATTTGACCTCTGTCACAAGCGAGGCTGCTTTCATTTCCTGGTTGATGACAAAAATGTACCCATCTAGATATGACTTTGAATTTATCACCACCATGTAAAGCTGGAGACTGAATGGACTGCAGGAAGCTATTGATTTCAATGCACCACATGTATTGAAATAAAAGAGAAACCGTGTTATATTGTAACATCCACTTGGTTATATTGCTTCCTCTCTCTTACTTCTATATCGACATATGTCTACGATTGTATTAGTGCAGTGGAGCCCAGAATAAACCTCGCCTCTGTAATTGGACAGCATTAGATGGTAATGGTATTCATCCGAGCTGAATTACTAGAAGACTCAAACCCCCCACGATACCCTCCAAGATCCACAGAAGACTCTAAATTAATTAGAGGCCTCTGCCTCTCCCTGTTGTGCCTGCAATGCTGTCTCCCATGAAAGAGGAGCTGCAGTTATCAGGTTAAGTGCATGTGTACAGTATGCGTGGCCATCACTGTGGCTCTGATTCTGTCTGTTGTCCATCTGCAACTGTATAGTGTCCATGCAGGGTTTGGGGTACAGTTCAGGGGGCTCAATAATCTCTTCATTACACAGAAACCCCCTGCTGTTGGAGCTCTTTGCCTAATCAAAGGGCCGGGAGCGGATCTCTGGCTCGCTGCTAAAGCAAACATGAGGGACACAATACGCCGCGCAGGTTCTTTATTCATAAATAAAACATACCACTCGGCTGTTTGTTTGCATGTGGGTGTGGGTGTGTGTGTGTGTGTGTGTGTGTGTATCCTCGTCAGCAACTCAAATGAAAGTGTAACGTGAGGAGGATTTGGCCACATGGCACACATATGTGATACCAGGTCAGATACGCTAAAGACAAACCAAAGTGAAGAGATAAAAAAGTGCCACTCAAAGCACTTTCAGGTTATGATATTAGCTATGGTCTACTGGAACATTTGCTTTCCGAGATGACTTGTTATAGAAACAAAACAGTGTTTTATTCACTAGAAATCCGTGTCCCCCAGGGCTCCATCAATTCAATTATCATGGAGAGCCACTAGAGTGTACCTCTTCTCTCTCAGACAGCCGCAGGCACTATAGCAAATACAACACACACCCCAGGAATATGCTAAATCATATGTGAGGCCCATTTATCATTGCCAAGGGAGCTCCCCCACCCAACCCACGCACTCAGAGTCATTCAGTCACACGCTCTGGAGAGTGGGTGAAAGGGACGGTGTGGAGATGCGATTTGGGCCTGGCTGTCAGCGCTCGTCACCCGGTGAATGTGCCGAGCGCTGGGGGGACCCCATCTCGGCCGTCGCCACTGTCCGTGGCTGATAAGGCCAATCTGCAGAGACAGCACCTGAGTCCCCCCTCTGGTCCCCAGACCTCCACGCTGTCACACACCCTCCAAACAGCTGTCAGAAACACTCTATGAAGGTCCCTCAGTGCTGGATCTCCATGAGGACCGGAGTCTTTTAAAGCTGGGAGCCCCTCCAAACCTTTCTTTATCTGCTGGAAGCACACTACAAAAGATCTTTAAGGTGCTTTTTAATGGTAGTTTAAACACTAATAAATCATTGTCAAACGGACCATGATATGGTCTAATTATCACTAACTAATTACACCATGGTTGTGCCAAGTGATAGCCCCAACTCTTACAGTATCTGCCAAACAATTGTTGTCCCAGTGTGGCTTCCCTGCCTGTTCAACTAGGAGAGCTTTGGCTCAGTTTGCACAGGAACAACATCTGTTGTCTTTGAGTTATATGCTGTACAGCGATCCAGACCAGTTCTTGTAAAGATTTGACCCAGTTGAGGAGACGATGCAGTGAAGATGCCAGTTCTCTGATATTTACTTGAAACAGTGTTAATTAATGGCTTATTAAAGAGGGCATTCAGTCTTTAAACAAGTACATTTTCCTTGATGCGATGTTAGAAACTATGTCACATGAATCTTGCAGACTGCAGCACAGAAGAAATCTGCTTTCAGCGGATTGCCATCTTGGCTCCAGGGCCTATTTTAGCATACTGTGCCACTCGCTCCCACTTTATATTCATAAATGCAGCAGCTCCATTCTTATCTTTACTTCTACATGAAACACTCTGGAGAAATCAGATTTTTAAATAAGCAAGTTACACAATTAAGAAAGGTTCAAGCCAAAAACCTTTCCCCTCATCGTTCTTATGCTTCACTCAGCCTTGAACAAATCAAACACCGTAATCAACCCAAATGTCCCGGGAAATAATTGTGTGTGTGCGCGACTCATATCTGTTTAAGCTCAGATATCAGTGAGCGTCCGCAAAACCCAAAGAAAAATAAAGTCTCTCACAGCGAGATTTTCTCGTTGTTTAGACAGCCGTTTCCAGCGGTCGTAATCTAGCAGTTTTAAATGCAGAGCCCAGCCCCCTCAGCGGTGCAGTCACTGCTGCCTTTACGAGCCTGCATGTGCACTTCTGTTTTCTCCCCGACAGGAAACCCGGCATCCTGCTCCTGACGGACTTGGATTGCACTTCAGAGTGGCATCAAATAAGAGTGGGAGACAGAGAGCAGCCCTGCCCTGTACCACGCCTCTGGGTTGGGGTGTGAGGAATTTCAGAGAAAACCTACAGCAGCGATGAGGCTGTGAATGAGCGGTTTCACTCCAGACAGACAGGGCAGGCTTGTTGGAAAGAAACCGAGGCCCTCACAGAATAAACCGTGACCTGTGCTCTATCAAACACCTAACGGGAAGTCCACTGTTTTTCTTGTATGAGTTTTAAAGATGGCGCTCTGCGGAGCACGCCGAAAGCACCATGCCCGAGCCCTCATATAAAGTTCAAGGAACAAACGGCGGTCTAAGAGACACAGATCTGGCACTTGTTAGACCATATCACTTCGAACTAATAACAAATGCATCTTGTGTGGCCATGTTTGTGGTGAAATACTCTGCAGATTCACACCTTGTGAACTTAAACACTGATTGCCCGGAGAACTATTCAAATGGGGATTCTCCCAAATGCTAAACAACAAGAGTGTTGTAATTTTGCACTCCTTTGCACTAAAAACATACGCTCCTCAGTAAACTGTGTTGTTAATGCGGTTTCGTTTACACTCACGTCTGTATAACTGTGCAAGCAAGACCTGAGGTTTACAACTGTAGCAGTGTGTGCAAGCGCCTTGCGCAATCATAAAGATGCCTCGAACATTCTTTTGCAACACAAAGCACTAGTAATGGTTCGGCAGAACACGTCCCCGCGGAGCTCCTCAGCAGAAGCAGCAATGGGTGGCTCTGTCGTTTTCTGTGTCTCTGATCGCGTTACACAGAAGACACTAATGGATGTAGAGAGGAAAGACCAAGGCAGGGAACAGAGGCTGTTAAAGAGGGGCATCAGATACCAAGGAGGGGGTAGCGCCACTTCAAAAGTCTGTGGCTGTTTTAATCCGTCTCTCTCTAGGTTAGCCCCTTGGCAGGCGAAGATGGGGGTTGGGGAAGCGAGTGGGCATAGAAGTGGGCGTCAGGGTGTGGGGGTCTGCGGGGCACAGGCTGTGGCTGGTGATCAGTTCCCACTGCACACCGCCAGCACTTTGACAATTATCTCCTTGATGCAGCAGTCTCTCTTTCATTTCTATTGAAGAACCGTGCCTGAGCGCCGAAGCCTCCCAGGAATGCCAGAGAGAGAGTGCAAGAGAGACTCCGACGGGGATAATCCCAATTTCAAATGGAGCTTTGTGATATCCCCCTCCTCCCTTTCTTCCTCCATCCACCCCCCCTCACCCTCCTCCTGTCTGGCACAGATAACTCATCCCTCTCTCTCTCCGCACTGTGCATGCGCAAACAGCAGTCCACACACGCCTCTAAAGTAATAATTAGCATGTCAGCCACTACTTGCGTGAGTCTGAGAGCTGGGCCTTCACAGAGTCTCACAGCGCAGTGAATTATATATTTTTCTCAAGTCTACGTCGATGCCAGAGGATGCAAGGTAAGTGTTGACACAGTGAGGTGTGGACACAAACTGAATTATATTATATACACTCAGGTACCAAAGAGAAGAAAAAAGTGAAGCACAAATGCTACGAGTTGAAGGTGAAAAGATGTTTTGGGCTTGTGGTCTATCATCTTTTCCTTGGTCTGGATGAGGTGAACCACACAGGGGTGAAAAGTGACCTGAACTGATCAGTTTAGTCAGGTTTATTCCTACAATCCATCATTCTGGATACAACTCCCAAATGACTCCGACGGTCACGCATTCCATTCATCTGCAGTATATCTACCTAGTGTGGAAATCAATACGGCACCTTCTTGTTTCCCATAGACGTACATTACAGTGATGACAGTAGTGGAAGAGTCACCAGAAGGTCAGGGAGGCGGGGAAAAGGAGGACCATCACTTGACTTATTTTCCCTGAATTAGTCCATTGTATTCAATGTTTACATTGATGAACTGATGCAAAACTAAAGTCAATTTTCCACATGAAGAAACGTTCGCATAGTAGATTTGCTTCTTCATCACCTCATAACATATCTCTGTGTCAAAACTAAGTTCAAGTCTCCATGACGGCAGGAATCTACCATGCTGAAGAGCCCTTGAGCACTCTTGAGTATCTGACCCTGTGATCTGACCTCCTGACTGTGGGGAGAGGCGAGCAGAGAAAACAAGCGCTCCTCCTTCAGGGAACAATAGAGAATCACACGAAACAGTGTTAGAGTCTCACAGCGCACCAGCCCTTGTGTGCTGTTGCTTCAGGCCTGCTGCCATAAAGAGAGTCAGAGGCGTCACTGGGGTGCAGTCAAACAGCTGGGCCTGCGGTTGGAGCCTCTGCTCGGAGGCTGCAATCAGCTGAGCTCCACTCTGCTTCATCGTGTGGTTCACTTTCTGACCTCCCTACTGTACAGTACGCACACGTTCAAAGACAAAGACAAATAAATATAGGCACTTCTTGTACACACACACACACATCGGTAGATCTCCACCTCCTGAATTCTTTCCCCCGTTTACAAGAACTGAAACCACAGTATCAGCAATTTCCAGTAAAGCTTAGCAAAATGCAGTTTTGACCGTTTAAGCCCCAGCTGAGGCTTTAGAACGTAACACAACCTGACCATGCATCGGAGTACCTGTTCTTCCTGCAGAATGCCTGGAATTGATCCTGCTCTTTAGTATTGAACCAAATGGCTGAAAAATAACTGCTTATGCCCTTATTTCTGCAGGATAGTCCTCTTCAAGATCAAGAGAGGAAGTGTTGAGACACCAAAGATTGACTTTGGCCGATGTGACGGCCCGGCACAGCTTGACAGTGTGTGTGGGTGTGTGTGAAGTGAGCACACTGTGGCTTTTTTGGCATTGCGCAGATTATAGAGGAGCAGTTCCACTGTACTTTACCATTGTTCCTTCGCTCTTGCTCCGTGCGACTTCCCTCTGCAGGCGAGCCACGGCCAGCTTTTCCCTAAAGGAGAAGAAGGAAAAGAGAAAATAAGAGTGAGTCAACGGGTGATCTTTGTTTGGTGGGTGACACAGGCAGGATTGACACAAATACTTTTTTCATTTCAGTGGCACTTATATTTTTGAGTTTTGTTTCTGTTCTCAAAAATGTCATTCTAGTCGAGGGGAAAACAAGCCTCGTCTTTGTCTGTCTTCTGCTTAACAGGAGAATCCTCACAAGCCTGCCAGAAAATCAGCAGACACACACACACACACACACACACACACACACACACACACACACACACACACACACACACACGGGGTCGTCCGCTTACCACGCAAAACAGAGAGCTTGCAGTTCTGTCTGGACAAAAATAGCTCAGAGGAAACAAAAAGCAGGGCATCCTCGCGCCAGACCTTACACGCTGACACACACTCATAACAGACTCACACACACACACACACACACGTGTGAACCAGGCAAAACAAAGAAATAGACTGTGCACGTCCAATCCGTTTCCCACGTGAGGGCATTCCAGACTTTAATGGGATAAATCTTGGCACACTAGCACAGATAATAAAGAGCCCTGTTTCATGGCCCCTCCTGAGGTATCACAACTGAAAACACAAGTGAGACACTGCTCCAGGACAAACCAGCCTGCATCTGACAGTCAGAGATGAGACCGTTTGTTGAAAGCTTGTCATTCTGCAAGTGTCTGAAAGTACAACAGATGTGTTGAGGAGGAAAAAGCCTCCTCTGGCAGAGTAACGTTTGCTCGAATCTTTACAATCAGCTGCTTAAAGACCAGAACATCATTATTTCTAAAGTCAAATTCTGCATTAGCATTCATAAAGATGTAAATATGGTGCTCTAAATGTCAACACATTGTTTTGACACAAGGGGCACATGATGTCCGCCGATTATCCCCCTTACATACATGGCATTAGGTATGCATGAATGAATGAATGCATTCATTAGCCAATATTTAAGATAAGATGAGACATGCTTTGTTGCCCCTAAAGAATGTTTGTTGCTCACATACTGCTTCCAAAAAACAAATATGAGGTACAAATATTCCAACAAAAAATACAAAAAAAAATCGACCACAAAAAAGAATAAAAGTCAATAAAGTATGTAGAAATGATAAAACAGAAAAGTTACAGTATAAAATCTAGACATCTACAGTGTATGACAGGAAAACTAGGATGGAAGTTTATACGTTTGTTGTCAAAGTATTGTTCCAGACTTTCTGTGCTCACAAGAATACATCACACACACAAAGCCCCCTAATATGCGACCACGGGACCTAATAAAGGAGTGTATACAGCAGACAGCCACAAGTAATCACAATCACCTGCACATTTTTCACATTTCTTCACTGGAGCAGACTCCCAAACCCCTTGTCAACCTCCCCCAACCCCCAAAATAACTCATGACTAACATCTCCTCCGCGCCTTTGACAAGACATCATTGTTTCTGAGTGGCTTACCTGTCTCAGAAAAACCCCTGGTGATTAAGAGGCAGCTGGGGATGTTTGGTTGATGGATGAATCCACTGTCTGGACTGAAGAAAGCGTTCCGAGCTATAACTAACTGCTGGTGGAAGCCATTCCCACTGCCACGCTCATGGGACCAGACTGAATTAGGCAAAGCCGAGCCTGGCACGCCAAATGTGAAACAACCGGTGTGGTGGTGACAAATCCGAGAGGAAGTCAAGCAAGGCTGCAAGACATGGGGTGTGTGTTTTGGGTGTGTGTTTGGGTGTGTGTGTGTGTCTACATTTGGGCTCGTGTAAGAAGTTTGTGTGTTTGTGCATTCATAAATGTGGGTGTGGGAACATACATTCATTAAAGTCAAGGTGTTGTTCATGTGTTTGTGACCACTCGTAAATATGTCAGTATGTGTGTGTGTGTGTGTGTGTGTGTGTGTGTGTGTGTGTGAGTGAGAGAATGTGTATGACGGCATGCTCCACACCTGAGACTGACTAATACAGTCATGTTCCAGTTACACAATGTGTCTCTACCTATTACGACACACTGCATGTTTCAAACCATTACACTACCTGGAGAAGAAAAATGGGTAATGGAGGAGGCGGGGGGGGTCTGGATCGTCTCACTGCAGATATTGTTTTGCTTAGCAGGACCCGCCTGGCATTCCTCCAGTCTGTGTTATGGCTGAGCGTCAGCCCTGTAAGGGGTTAAGTTTCAGGCCACTTATGTACAGGCATGTTCCAGGAGCAACGGAGCATGAGCCAACTGAGCGCGGAGAAAATCATCGCCAAATATAGAGCAATTTGACATTGTGTTAAATATAATTATAGTAACTGGCACAAGTGGTAGTCAAAACGGTCTTCTAGTATAAGATGCTCACCAGAGACATTTGCCTCCAGTTGGCGCTGATGTGGAATAATGTGACATTTGAACATATAAAAGTCATCTGTATTCTGTATTAGATGTTTAGAGCAATATATTCTGCTTTGAGTTGTAAATTTGCATCGAGATGTTTCACCAATAAATTGTGTGTCAAGATGCAAAGACCGATGTTATAATGGCGTCTGGAAAAAAGGTGGAAAAATCATAATTAACGGGATAGTTCTGGTGTTTTGAATGGGGCTTATTCAGTACTGATCCAAAGTCAGTGGATCACCTGCAGGAGATGGATTTGGAGGAACAGACAGGAGCAAAGTAATGTACTGTGTAATGTCGACGTAAATAAAGAAGAAAAAAAATCAATATCAGTGTACGCTATAGAATAGTATAATCAGTTACAATATTGTCAACAATAAAGTCTGGGTGAGAGACATGAGCAGGTAGACTGCTTGGCCAACAGTTTTTCCACATTACATAAACTTTATTTGGACGTAAAATCATAAAGATGCAACCAGCAATATCTGTAATAACCACTTATTGCAAAGGAGAACAGGAAGCTCTAGCTGTTTATCTATTTGTGCTACGCTGTATGCACACCGTGTATATTTCACACTTGACTGTGACTAAATGGGATGTATTTCAGGCCACAGTCCATGCCTTTATCCCGTACATCCAAGCATGTGATGAAAGCATAAGCTGACAGTTGACCGTGTATACATTCCTCCTCCTCCTCCTCTGCTGTTTTTCTTCTTCTCTGAGCCCCAACTTAAAGCTTGGCCGAGTGAATTCCAACAGCCAATCATGAGCAGTGTCGACGTGGACCTCCAGCAGTTCTCAGTGAACTGGAATCACCTGATAGCACCAGAGGCCTTACCCCCGCCGAGCCTCAGTGGAGCAAGCCAAACCAGCTGACAGGCCCCGATCTTGAACACCCCCCCTCTGTTCCACACGCGCACATTGTCTCTGGTGTTACTGTTTCTATGCATCAAACGGTAATGCAGCAAAAGGAAATAGGATGTCACACTTATATGAAATTACACCTGGAATTTAAGGTAACAACTTACTGATTGGACCTTTAAAACAAGGCTACTTCCTTCTAAATGGACACTTTAAAGATGCAAGTTAAGGTTTAGCACAATGTTATACATGAACACACAGCAACTTCCTACCCTTGCTTGCATACAAATACAAGTTTTCTTCTCATAAATATATATGACACCATCTGCTGTCCAACCGCACATCAAAAATCATTTCCCTTCATTACAAATGCAAATCCAGCAGCATCAAAAGCTCTCCATCCCTTCCTTTGAGATAAGACCGACAGCACAGATTGATCATGACACCAGCCTTGTTGCATTGGCAGCAGCTCAACCCAGTTTCCTCCACACATTCTCCTCGCTCAGACACTGTGCAAACCCCACTCACGCTTCCTCCTCCAGCTCACGCTGAGACGACGCGCCGGTTGTTTGCTTCAGAGCATTATGGCGACGTCGGCGGCATGCAAAGACACGATCTGTCAGGGCTGAGGGAGGATCAATCACAACGAGAGCATTCGCCAACCTGAGCCGACATGTTGGACACATGCGCTTTGAACTGCATTGTGGGAGGCAGACGTTTAGCTGCGTTTTCATCACTGTTATCACGGCTCCTGCATACAGGTGGTTTAATCCATTGTACATTGTTTGCTGTTAAGCACATAATGAAAGAGAAAAAAGAGCCGTCTCTTGGTTTCCTATTTCCCTGCAGTACTGTACACCATCTCAATATCAAGTGTGGTTAATCTCTCTTCTGTGTATGTTAACAGATGAAACACCACATAATCCTTCAGCCTGTTCCCTGCAGCAGTTGCTCATACTGACATAAATACAAGCATCAGGATGTATAAAAGATGCAAACCATCTTTCCAATATTGTCATCGAGGCTTACGGCGAACTAAACATTTCAATCGTTCTGAACCACAAATGTACACAGAGTGGTCGGCAGGGATGCATAAATGTTTGGATGAGAGCAGAGCTGCCATACATTTATGCATTAGTGTCTGCACTCCTGCTGGGTTAAGAGCCCTGACACGCACGCAATCCCCATGGCCCACATAGGGCATCCTGTTCAGAGGGACTCTGGCTACATTTTGGCTCCAACTCCGGAGTGGTCATTCCCATCCTTAATCCGCCTACTGCTGTGTTATGTAACCTTCTGCACCCATCCAATATTTCACCCCAGCCTCCAGTGTGGGACAATGAGCTTACCGAGGCGTTTGATAAGTTATAACATCCAGCCCAGCCCGACAGGAAAACAGAGTTACAACTGCCAGGAGGTTGAGATGGGATGAAAAATGGCTTTGTCAACTTGACGCTCTAAACATGTCAGAGTTTATAGTTTTAGATCAAAAACTGAGCCAATTTATCAGGTTTTGGCGCCACATGGATTAGTCCTTAATTTCATTCTTTTGTTAGAATCTGGAAGTTGTGACAGCTCAGGATTGTGCACAAGTTCATTTTTAAGCATACATCATGTCCAACCTCACCATCTTGTATTAGTCCCTGTTTTAATATCACATGCAACATCATCAAATTATTGTTTCTTTAACATTTGAATGTTCTTTTCTGCAGTCAAACCCCAAACAGAGATGGCATCAAAATCAGCCCGCAGTGTA